TTTTGTATGTGTTGTGACTTGTACATGCTCTGCCTGCATGTTCTCTGACTATATGTGGTTTTCTTTGTGTGACTTGTGTTCAGTGTGTACTCAGTATGGTCTAAGTGTTTATTATTTTGTGTATATGTTGTGTGTGGTCTTATTTTATGTGCTTGTTCAGTGCTGTTGAAGTGAACAGAAAGTTATTGATGAGCAAAATTGACAGTTTTTGCTTTGCCTAAATTTTTTTTTTTCTTCCATAAAGTTTATTAATAAACTCAGAGCATACAATAAGTACAGGTAATACAAGGTATCAGTCGGAAATACAATAGGAGGTAATGCACATACAGCGAACAAAAAGATACATAGCAATACATAGACAAAGAATCAGACGTAAGTCATCCCAGGGAAAAGAAAACGGGGAAAAATGAGAACATGCGAGCGCAGGAACATTAAAGGCATATCTGGTCTCAAGCCCTTTTTCAGCATATTGGAATCACAGCACTGGCAGGGTTGATGATATATAACCTCAGTTACCGAGCAGCAGCAAAGAGCAGGGCCAGTGAGTCAAAGGTATGCGTTGGAAATGTATACAGTAGGTGTGGAGGGGGGGTGCAAGGGCTTGTAGGATATGGCCTTGTACTTTTGATGAAACTGAGGTAACCCACTACAGGTTGCCAGCATGTGGGTATGGGTTCGGGAAAGGAGATATGTAAAAGTAAAAAAACATATGTGCAGCTGGATTGCAGATAGGGAGTAGGGCTCCTGTGAGTAGAGAAGTGTACCAAAATAGAAAGGGGAGAATGAAAGCTAAACTCTGAGTAAGAAAGCAGGGAAATGGGGATTAAGAATTTAAGAATAAGCATGAAAAAGAAGGGAAGAGAGGGAGAAGAAGAAAAAGGAAAAAAAAAAGGGGGGGGGGGGGGGGGGGGGGGAGATGGGGGGTTGGGGAAAGGGTCGGACGGGGAGGAGGTGTGGAGGAGTAGGAGGGTAGGTAAGTCACCTTTACTGTAGACTCCGAGGACATGAGAGATACGCGCAACCCTGGCAGAGAAGCGAGCTGGGGACAGTTGCAGGAGTATCAGGGTGTCAAGCGTAGCTTGCTCCAAGCAGTACAGGACATCGAGACAAAGGACCTCAATCACAACCTTGAAAAAACAGAGAGCCGATATATTGCCAGAAACACTACGGGGTATCAGAGAGATTCAGAATCAATCAGCAAGGCCCATGAAAGAATGATATTCAGGGGTCGTTTGGAAGTGAATCCAACAGGACCACGTATGAGAAAATTAAGTAGGGTTATCCAGAGAAGAAGCAATCAGCTCTTCCATTTCAGCAATTCTGTTCAAGCGTATGAACCAATCTTGCACTGTGGGGGGGTGAACAGACCCCCAGAGAACCGGTAAGCAGAGTTTGGCCGCGTTAAGCATATGCATAGCCAGAGATTTGAAATATAGACGTTTGGGAAGTGGAGTGTGGTGGGAGGAGGAGTTGGGCCGGAGAGAGAACTCAATATCAAGAGTAGACACCGAAGAAGTAATCTGATGTACCTCCTGCCAAAAGGGCTGAACCATAGGGCAGTCCCACCAGATATGAAGAAGAGATCCAACAGTAGCCCCACATCTCCAACAAATACTGGGTCTGGATGGATTAAAATGATGGATTCTAGAAGGTGTATTGTACCAACGTGTCGCCAACTTGTATCCGTTTTCTTGTGCCGAAACATTCAAGGAGCACTTATGAGAAAAGATAAAGATTTGGTTCCAATCAGAGGAAGAAAAGTCAATGTTTAAGTCTCTTTTCCAAGCTTTGTAGGCGGGAAGTGAATCAGAGGTTCTGTCACCAAGAAGAAGCAGATAGGTAAATGATACTAAATGCCTCTGTGGTTCAGCCTTTGAACAGAGTGACTCAAAGGAGGTGAGAGGGCGGACCCATTTATGGCGATATGCAGGAGAGAGAAGAAAATGTTTGATTTGAAGATAGGCCAGGGAAGAACAAGACTTCAGCTGACCTTTGTGAAAAAAAATGGTTCGCTAAAAAACTTGACTGTGTGGCCAATGTGCTGATGGAAACGACTTATGCATACCAGGAGGGAAGTACGGATTGAGGCGAAGAGAAGTTAGTGAGTTGGGGGCATCCGAAATGGAGGCCGATTTACAGGCTAAGCGAAAGGTTTTAAGGGAAGGACCTGATTATTGGATGTAGGAGGAGGTCTTGAGGAATGTGTTTGGTCAGAAGCCACGGGATCGATGCCAAGGCGGAAGTGGAACAAGAGTTTTCCAGCTGGACCCACGCTTTGGTGGTAAAGTGAATATTCCAATCGATTATCCTAGTAAGATGGCAGGCCCGATGGTAGAGTTGCAGGTCAGGTAGTCCAATCCCCCCTTTGGATTTGAGGAGCACAAGTTGGGAGAAGGAAATACGTGGCCGTTTATGATTCCAGAGAAAAAGAGAGCACATTCTTCTGCATGAAAAGAAAAAGGCGGGTGGTAAATGGATAGGTAAGGTTTGAAATAGATAGAGGAGGCACGGAAGGATATTCATTTTTAGTATAGCAGCCCTACCAAACCATGACAAGCATGGGCGATGCCACCTAGTTAGGTCTGCTCGGATGGCACCAAGGGTTGGAAGAAAATTTTTGACATAAAGATCAGAGAGGTTACTCGTAAGCTGTATTCCCAGATAGGTAAGGGAGTCCCTTTCCCATTGAAACAGGAACTGTGACTGACAAAAGGAAACCAGGCCTGGAGGAAGAGCAATGTTTAAGGCATAGGATTTGGAATGATTAATTTTGAGGTTCGAGATATATTGAAAAAAAAAGGAAAAATCCTTAAGTAGGTTGGGCAAGGTGATCCGGGGCTCCGTCAAAAACAAAAGAATGTCGTCTGCGTAGGCAGCAAGTTTGTATTCCTTGTTCACCATGGAAATACCCCTGATATCTGGGTTTAAGCGGAGTTTGCGTAACAATGGTTCTAGTGATATCACAAAAAGAGCGGGGATAGGGGGCGGGGATAGGGGCAACCTTTGGATAGAGAGAAAAACAGGTGGCGCACACACCTAGTGCATTATCCAAGGTTTATTGTAGGAATTAAATCATAAAAACATACTCACAGACGAAGCATGTATCTAAAAAGCATAGAAAAATGACAATGGCCACAACGGCAGGCAAGGTGTTCTCACTGTCAGTGCGGTCAAATACTGACGCGTTTCGGGGAAGAATCCCTTTCCTCAGAGCTGATGACCAACCTCTGATGCTGATGCACGATGAATGGAAAGTAAAAGTGAGAGCCCTGCTGTTGATGCCTGAATGGCATCAACAGCAGGGCTCTCACTTTACTTTCCATTCATCGTGCATCAGCATCAGAGGTTGGTCATCAGCTCTGAGGAAAGGGATTCGTCCCCGAAACGCGTCAGCCATTTGACCGCACTGACAGTGAGAACACCTTGCCTGCCGTTGTGGCCATTGTCATTTTTCTATGCTTTTTAGATACATGCTTCGTCTGTGAGTATGTTTTTATGATTTAATTCCTACAATAAACCTTGGATAATGCACTAGGTGTGTGCGCCACCTGTTTTTCTCTCTATCCAGTGGCTGATTTCCCCGTCTGAGGAGGGCTGCACCCCTGGAACATTTCCTTTTGGTTGTCGCTGTCCTGGTACCCTTGGCTTCCCTTTTGGCTGTGCATATCCTGAGGCGCTGGAGAGTACATACGCTATAGGGGCAACCTTGGCGCATACCATTCCCAAGAGGGAATGGATGAGATAGATGCCCATTCACACGGACCTGAGCCGTTTGACCAGAATACAGTGCCATAATGAAATTGAGCATGGTGTCTCCTAAACCAATCGCCTGTAGGGATGCCTTTAAGTAATCCCAGGACACCCTATCAAAAGCCTTCTCGGCATCTAGGGAAATAATAAATCCTGGACTGTGAGAATCGTGAAGCCGGTGAAGAAGGTTAAGAGCCTTGATGGTGTTATCCCTTGCTTCCCTTCCCGGGATGAAGCCCACTTGGTCAAGGTCAATCAGGGAGGGTAACAAGGGAAGGAGACGGTTGGTTAGGATCTTTGCATAGATTTTGATGTCTACGTTCAAAAGAGAGATGGGTCTATAATTGGTAACCAAAGTGACATATTTACCTTCTTTGGGGATGACAGTGATATGAGCTTCCAGGAGGCGATAATGTTGCGTGGAGGGTGAAGAGAGAGAGTGTTGAAGGCGGGAGAGGAAGGGTCCACTCAAAATATCTAGAAACTCCTTGTAATATGCCACAGAAAGACCATCAGGGCCCAGGCTTTTACCAGGTTTCATTTGCTGGACGGCACGGGAGAGTTCCTCCGCTGTGATATGATGTTCCAAATCCTGAACAGTATCATCAGGTACAGTGGAAGGACTATAGAGGCGAAGAAAGTCAGAGATTAGGGTGTCTCTAGGCTTATTGGCCTCAGAAGGGCGACGTTCTGGAGGGAGATTGTATAATGTTTTATATAGTACTGCTTGAAGTGAGATGCTATATCCGCATTTGAGGTGGCCAAAGAGCCATCCGAGCCCCTAATCTTGTGAACCGTTAAACTCATTTTTTTTTTGTCTGGAGGGATCTGGCTAAGAATCTCCCGCTTTTGTTAGCAAATTCATAAAAAAAAGTTTATGCGACAAAATTAATCTGTGCTTAGCTGCCTTGCCTAGTTCGTTTAAGAGCTGTGTGCGGGTGTCCGAAAAGAACAGATAAAGTCGAGGCTGCCTGATTATGTTTGTGCCCCTTTTCCAGGAATTTAATGCAATCTAAGAGTTGTTGTAAGCGAGTCTGTCTCTCTTTTTTACGTTTTGTGGCCATAGCTATTAGGACTCCTCGAATGACGCATTTATGTGCCTCCCATTGAGTTAACAAAGAGGTAACTGGAGTTTGATTGTTCGAAAAGTAGTCCGTTAATTGGGAGCGAACCTCTGCTTCATTGGCTGAGTCAGAAAGAAGAGAAGCATCCAATCGCCATATGTTAGAACGGGAATGTTTCTCCGGAAATCGTAATTTCATAGTGATAGGGTGTTGACCAGTGAGGATCATCGGTTCGATGGAAGAATCATGGAGGAAAGAGAGGTCGGCTTGCGTGATAAAGAGGTAATCGATTCTGGAATATTTGTTGTGTGGAGGGGAGAAAAATGTTTAGACTTTGACATTCGGGTGGAGGACTCGCCAAGAGTCGTGAAGTTGCAGATCTTGAAGTTGAGTGTGAATCTTTCTAATGGATTTATATGGCAAGAAAGAGCTTACCGAGGAAGAGTCCAATAAAGGGCATAGGGGAACATTAAGATCACCTCCCAAGATTAGGATACCCGTCTGGAAGGAGGAGAGTGAAGAGGTAATGGAGCGGAAAAAGGATACCTGTCTAGTGTTGGGTGCGTAAAGATTTGCTAAAGTGATGGGCCTATTGGCAAAATTACCTTTTAGAAACAGAAATCTACCATCCGGATTCGGAAGGGACTCCGAGATAACCAGAGGGAGGTGCTTTGCAATCAAAATGGAAATGCCTTTAGATTTAGCATGAGGGTTAGGAGCATGATAAACTGTCGGAAAACGGGAGTTAATAAGCTTGGGTATGGCATCGTGACGGAAGTGCATTTCCTGAAGAAAAACAATATCCGCTCTCTGTTTAAAAATGTGCGAAAGCAGGAGAGAGCGCTTTTCAGGGGTATTCAGACCCTTCACATTAATAGACAGAACTTTCAGCAAAAGATGTCCTGACAGGGAGTTGAGAGAAGGCATGTCCAGGAGAGTAAAGGGAACCTAAAGGGATGGTAAAGGGGGTATGGGGAAGAGAGAGAAGAGAGGAAAGAAAAAAAAGAGGGGGGGGGGAGAGGGGAAGGAAAAGAAAGGAAATGAAAAGGAAGAGGGAAATGAGGGGAGAAAAGAGAGAGAGATAACCGGCAGTGGGGTTAGACCAGCTGACCCACCAAGATACGGGAAGGAGGAAAGAAGAACAAGAAAGAAGAAGGGGTAGGAGGGAAATAGCAGAAAGAGGAGCAAGGAATGAAAGGAGATGAGAGGCAGAGGACAAGGGAGTAAAGACGGCCGGAAAAAGTTCAGCAAGAGCTCTCAAAGCTCGCTGTGTGGGAAACGCGGCGGACCTAGATCCAAAAAGAAAGAGTCTGTCGGCCATGGACCTTAAAAAAATGCAAGAATCGGGGGGAGGGAGGGTGAGCACAATTCGTTTGAATATAGACATAGATGGGGGTACAACCGCCATCATCTGACATAATGGGTGAGGTAAGACGCAGCAACAAGCTTAGGGATATCCAACGGAAAATGTAATAAATGTCATAAGGGCAAGGAAACCAAATATATATGATTAGGGCGTATAGTGGTGGAAGCATTGTATATAGGGAAATGAGAAAATGCACATCTAAGTGGAATGCAGTCGTGGCATGATCCTAAAGTTATGGGCAGAGTTGTGGTATCGTAGGTGTGCCGTGGTAGGGCCAGTGTGCGAGTCCATGCTGAAAATAAAACATCAGTGAAAGCCAGATGGAAAACCTGCATATCATTAAGATGAAAAGCAAATCGTATCATAATCTGTTTATGGCAAAAACAATGCAACATCACAGAAACAGCAGGGCAACCATTCAAAAAAAAAAAAAAAAGCAACCATCAAAGGAAACAATTGGGAAAAATGAGACATAGTGCACCATTTCTTTTTGGAACCCTAAGGTATCTCTCATCTGTCCTAACTCTTCTCTTCCTGGCTCCCTCTCAAAAACTCAAACCATCCATCTTCCACCCCGCTCCCGCAGGACTCCACGACATTCTAAAAATCAAGTAACACCTCGTGTCTAAAAAGAAAAATTAGCGGTAGCTAGGCAAGGGGAGAGGGAAGAGGACGGCACTGGGGGGGAGCTCAGCAGAAAACTCTGATGGTTTCAAAACCTGTAAGCAGTAAATGTGGTTTAGAAGGGTGTGAGGTGAAGGAGGGGGCCGGACCCCGCAGGGAACAACACCTGGAGAGTGTAACGAGGGGATACTTGATTTCAACAGATATGTAACATAATAATAGTATGGAAATGACAGCCTGGGTCCTGGATCCCCTCCTCCCCCCAGCCTGCTTCTCCCGGTGGAGGGGCTAGGAGGAATCCCTGTCATCGACTGAACCCTGGCAGGGGCACCTCATCTGCCACCCATTCCTCTGCCAACTCACCTCCTATCCGGGATCATGCGGCTGGCTCTGTGTGCTCTTTGCCTGCAGCAGTGGCAGCCCAGCCTGTGAGAGGGATCGGATGCCAGTCAGCCACCGGGGAGGGCGAGATCTGGCCCCCGGGGAGAAGAGGACCAGGGGCTTTTCCATCTTTGTGGCATGTCCAGATGGGCACCGTCGCACTGTGGGACTGGTCTTTGGCTGCTGGGGTTTCCTCTGCCTCCCAGCAAGCCCGGCGAGAGAGGGACAGAGCAGAGGCTCTGAGCCCCGGTGCTTTGGAGGTGGTTGATGACATCATCTCTGGGCGCCGTCTGAGCTCGAGAGCCAGGACCGACCTTCAGGAGCAGGGCGGTGCTGCCTGAGAGCCGGATGCTGCGGGGAGCAGGTCGGAAGGTGAGCCCAGCGGCTCTGAAGAGGGAGACGTTCCAGGATCTCTGCATGGATTCAGACCAGTGGTTGGGAGTCCCGGTAGATGGAGGCAGCCTGGTAAGTTTTCTTCTCTGGTTGCTCTTCCTTTGTCTTCCTCTCCGACCTTCGGGGAGCAGGGCAGTGCTGCCTGGGAGCCAGATGCTGATGGGAGCAGGTTGGAAGGCGAGCTCAGCGGTTCTGAAGAGGGGGAAGTTCTAGGGTGTCTGCATGAATTCAGACCAGTGGCTGGGAGTCCTGGTGGATGGAGGCAGCCTGGTGAGTTTTCTTCTCTAAGTGCTCTTTCTTTGTCTTCCTCTCCTTCTCTGCTGGGGGGAGTCTCGGGGGATGGAGAGGCTGACACTTTGGGGATTGTGGCGCAGGTGGGGCCATTTGGGATCAGGTTGCCGCAGTGTCGTCGTTGTGGGGTTTGCTAGGCAGTGAAGGGATTCTTAGCCTGCTGCTGGCTGGTTTTAAGGATATGCTGATGCATTGTGAGGCAGGGGTGGTGGCCAGAGCTCCGGCGCCAACTTTGACTGCATGGTCAACTGTTCAGGTCACGGCGTCTGGGGGAGGTGTTTCAGTAATGGGGGGTGGTGTCTGTCATGTACTTGGTTGGGGAGCCTGATGTAGAGAGAAGGCGTCCTCTTACGACTTCCGCTCGGAGCCCCTGATAGTGGGAACAGAGGGCGCAGAGCCAGGAGTGGCACGAGTGCTGGGTAGATCTGGAGCTGGCGGCAGGTAGCTGAAGACCCAGGAGATCCGGATGCAGTTCAGGTGTGGATGCAGGAACGTAGGTGCAGCAGCAGGCAGGTATGGCGGCAATCAGGATACAGATTCGGACTGGGCACAGGAGCTTGGATGCGGCAAGCAGGCAGGTATGGCAGTGACCAGGATGCAGACCGGATACAGGACCATGGGTGCAACAGCAGGTAAGTATGGCAGTGACCAGGATGGAGGCCAGGTGCAGGACCGTGGGTGCAGCAGCAGGTAATTATGGCAGCCGTCAGGATGCAAGCCAGGTGCAGGTACAGGTAAGTAGGACAAGCCGAGTCAGACAAGCCGAGTCAGTATTAAACGAGCAGATCAAGTACAAGGGATCAGGCAAGCGGATAGCCAGGGATAGCCGGGGTTGGAGCAGGCAGTGTACTTTCCTAGTCAGGTGATATCAGGATACAGGCAACAGAATCAGGTAATAAGTGCAGGGTCGTTGTAGACCAGAAGGCATTGATTTCACTGTATTACATGTTTAAATAGCCCGTCTTGCGGTGACGTGTACACTACTGCACATGCGCGCACATTTCCGTGCTTCTGCGCATGCGCTACCGTGCATGCGCACTTGCACCGCCACGGCCTGAGGGGATTTATTGCCGTCACATGGCTGCACGGCGACAGGATCCCGGACAGTGTCAGTGCTGCTGTGGTTCCCCTCAGGTGTTGCCCCCAGCTGTGTCATGGGCCTTTGGGGTTTCTTCTACTACCATGTCAGCATTATCCCAGCATCGAAAAGGATATTGCTGGCAATTCAACAAGGAATCGTGAAAGTTTGGATCTGGATGCCATTTCCGTCATGAGTGCTCAGGCTGTTCCCATGCCTTGTCCCGGTGCTTTAAACACAGAAAAGGGGGAGGGGGAAACGCTAGAAAAGGGGAGGATGCCGGTAAAGGTAGGAAGGATGGTACCATTTTTCAAATGGTACCCTTATCAGGCAGAGGCTCACCTGTTGCAATGGAGTTTCGAGGAAGGTTTTTTGATACTGTGAGCTTTGCAGATTGTTCCTCCCACGGCGGATAATTTGAAATCGGTACATTTGCATCCGGATGTTGTTCGCGCTACTGCTCTTTTTCGGGCGGCATTTGTGCTGACCTTTTTTTGGGCTTTTAGAGTTGGGGAGTTGGTTAGTCGGAACACGTGGGGTGAGGATGATTTAGGTGTGGGTGATGTGGTCTTGCGGGGTTGCAGGTTGGGTAATTTTCTGCAAAAATCAAAAACGGACCAATTGAGTTGGGGCTCTTGGATTCAACTGTCCAAGTTCCCCTTGTCCTGGGTTTTTCCTGTTCAGGCCATTGGGGAGTTTATTCGGTTGAGACCTGATCTTCCTGGGGTTTTCCCTGGGGGGCTAGGTGGGCAAAGTTCAGGAGGAAGGTCGGCAATTGGGTTTTTCTTGGAGTGAGGTCAGGCTTCGTTTGGAATGGTGTGCCTGGAATGTTGTGTTCCAGGGTTGTACCTAAGCTCCACCATTATTCCAGGTTAGACAGGCCTCAGGACGTTCTTGTTTTGCATGTGGGTGGCAATGATCTCGGCTTTTTTTTTGGACCTTCGGTCCTTTTTTCTGCAGACTGTTATGGTCTAGCTGGACATGGTGGCGTGGTCTTCTTGGTTCCTGGCTCACTCGGTCAAAAAACTAAATAGCGCCAGGATAAAAGTCAACAAGGAGGTGGTGCTTTTTTTCTGCGGAATGGTGGCCTAGCAGTCCGTCATCGTGATTTGGAAGAGGAGTTGTGGCAGTTTTTGAGGGCAGATAGTGTGCACCTCAACACTGTTGGCATTGATTTGTGGTCATTGGGCCTCCAAGATGTTATCCAGCGGGCTTTGGGAGTTTGGAGGGCTACATGAGTGTAAGGGTTCACACTTGTGTGCTGTGGCAGGAATTGCTGGGTCTTTGACGGCGGTGCTGGAGTGACATTTTTGAGGATTATGGGTTGGGCCCATCATAGGTATGGGTGTCCCTTCCCAATTATAAGGT